CAGTTTCATGGAGATCTTTGAAAAAGTTCCAGAAGAAAGGAGGCATTAAAGATGTTGACTGTTCCAAAGAGATCAATGATATCAGGTGTTCAGAAGAGTTTAAGGTCCACTTCATTAAGAAATAATTGGCAACCTTTAAGGGTTATTGTTTCCTTGGCTAAAAGCATCATGAAACACATTAGAATCTATGCAGCAGGGCTGGCTCCTCTTCACTATCCTTTTTTTTTTTTATCTCATTCTTTGAAATGGGAGATCAATGTCATAATGAGCCAACTCCAGGAGAACATTTTTTTTTTAATTTAAGGAATATGTGATAAATAAAACTGATGGAATGATTGCTATAAATAAATCATTCTTCATTAAGGAGTTGTCATTAATTTTGATTTAAATACATCTAGGATGGAACAGTTTTTAAAGTTTTCTTTAAGAATCTAGATATTAAACAATTAGAGTTGGGATATTCAGTAGACTTAGCCAGATCAGTTTGGAGAGGATACCCAGAATCTTGTTACTTATGTGTGCCCAGTGTTGCCATTATCTGCACTCGACTTCCACAGCCCTGCTTTGTTAACCTCAAGTTTTAAATTTTCTCTTTTCTACTCCAACAGGCATTACAATTCACTTGATGCTAAGTCCGGAATTCACACTTAATGCAGAGTGCCATGTATGTGGTAGCTAGCAACTCTAGAAATGTTTCTGAAAGTGTGGTCCATGTCCATTTGCTTGTGAGCCTCATACAATGCTCATGTTTTGCAGCTAGAGAAAAACTGGTATAGAAAATGAGTAGAGACCAGGAGGTATTGGTACAACATAGATGTAGCAAGCATCTAAACTTAAACTTATAGAATCAAAATCACTGGAGGTTATAAACCCAGGAGCCTTATTTCTTTTTAAAGCCAGGCTATGCTAATATACATTAAAATTATAAGATAAATTTAAAATAAAAAAATACAATGTAATAAAACATTTTGTGTGTGTCTCTATGTACATGCCTGTGTGTATGTGTCTATGTGTATGTACCTTGAGATTCTTATTATATTTGACTCCACTTCTCTCTCTTCTGCTAATTTTCATATATATCAGCTATTTTCCTATATCTTATAAAAGAATCAAATAAGACTAAATTTAAGGTGTTTGCAGTTTTTGTGACATTACTTGTTCCTCATTTTAAATTACTTGTTACAGTATAAAAGACAGTAGTGTGGGTAGATTCAATATCAGAAGAGGGTTTCATCCTACTGATTACTTTTAGAGCCTTTGGCATGTTCTACCCTGGTTCAGAGAGAAGAAAACAGCCCCCAAATGACACACAGACTAGGGTCATCTATGGGGGCAGGATAGTCGCTGCAGAAGCCAATGGAAGAGAGCATCTTAAAGTGAGAATCATGGGAAAGGGGACAGAGATTTTTTTTTAATATTTCAAATCTAAATGATTTTACATGTGTCTTTGCCATAAAAACTGCAATATATTTTTTAAGAAAACCTATTGGCCAAACTTGTAAATAATTGCAGTGTTTTGTCAGTCTCTGTTCAGTAGAGTAAATCATATTGTGCTGTTTTGAAGGGGAAAGAATTTTAGCAATTTTGTTTTAGCTTGTGGTCTCACAGGAGGGAAGTAATTCTTAGAGCAAGGCTTCAAAGATTTAATATAAGATAAACAATTCCTTTCATCAAACTTAATAATAAATATAACAGAACCGCAGGCATAATAATTCATTTTAATATTAATATAAAATCAAGCACAACTTCTTTAGTCTGATTACTTTGGCATGTGAACATATTAAAGGCTCAAAAAATAAATAACAATTAGCTAAAACTTGAAATGAGAAAAGAAAATATGTTAAGAATTTATAGATAGATCTTAATGTCATTTATATTAAAATACTCTCTCTGATTTCAAATAAACAGAAGAAATAAAATGGTCGTTTGAAAGAAGCTGCAAAAAATGCAATTTGGGAAAACTTTGTTTTGATGATTTTTAAGTGAGAAAAAAAATCCCCGTCCTTAGTTGTTCACATGAGAAGTCATCTGGCATTCTTGCATTAACAAGGTATTCATTGAGTACTACCATGTATTTGATACAGAGAAGGTGAGAAAATAAAGGAAGAAAGAAAGATGTAAATGATCACAAAGAGGGATGGTGTTGCAATTTTACACAGAGGGGTCAGAGAAGAACCTGAAAAGATGATAAAAAAATGTAGTCATTTGAGACATGTAAGACTGAATCATGGAGAATATTGATTCATAAGGCTAGCGAAGAGCATTCAAGATAGATGGAAGTAGGAGGCACCAACATACTTGCTCTATTCAAGGAACTGCAAGGGAGTCACTGAGGCTGGAATGGAGTGGTTGAGGGAGTCTGAGGTAGTTAATGGAGAGGTCAAGGGGACCAGATTAGTAGCACCTCATGAGCCATTAGTAATTATCTTGTCATTCATTGAAAGTGATATGAGAGTCTCCCTCCAAAAGGACATAAAGAAAGTAATGATAGGCTCTGACTTTGTTCTCCAAGGTGTATACTAGCCGCTAGGTTAGGAAGAGATTATGAAGAATTACGGCAAAAGCAACAACTGTTGAGAGACCGCAGCAGTCATTTAGGTGAGGGATGATGGTGACTTGAAGCAACGATGGTAGCAGTGAGGTGGAAAGTGGGTTGGGATTTGGGGTTTATTTCAAAAGCACACTGACAGAATTTGCTGATAAAATGGGTGTAGCTGTGGGAGAAGAAGAATCAAATGACATTAAGATCTTTAACCTGAGTAACCAGAAGGCCCAAAGTGCTATTTACCAGAGGAGCAGGTTGGAAAAGAAGCAAGTTTAGAGGGGGCCAGCATTGGAAGTTTGATTTGGTGCCTATTAAGTCTGAGAAGCCGACTGAATTTCCACTGGCATCAAAGAGTAATTAGTTGTACATACCATGATGGATTGAGGGAAGCACTCTGAGCTGGAGTTGTCAATAGGGAAGAAAAGACATGAAAGGATTTTTAAAGCCATGAAGAAGCTAGATGTAGAAAAAGAAAAGGGATCTAAAGCTGAATTTCAGGGTCCTGAAATCTCTGAGTATTAAAGAGACGAGGGAGGAATGGGAAACAGAAGGTAGACGGAATAGTCAGACTGCAACAAGTTTTACCTCCCTGATCACTTCAATTCTGGGGGCACTGGCAATAGTACAGCTCTCGTGGACATGCTCATTTTTGTTTGTTTTGTTTTCCTTTCTTTCTGGATCCACTTGGTCATTTGTCATTTTTCCCGTAACTTGATCTCCATCGTAAACTCTGGCTCTTTCTCCCTCCCTCTCACCCTCTATGCCTGCATCACATTCTCTTTGAATATCCTCATACCCTCATTGGTAGTGAAACTTCATCTGAGTGTAAAATTCATTTTTGAAGACTGTCAAAAGTAATTTGAGAATTCATCTGGTGAATGAAATGGGTGACCAAGTTTTTTAATATTGCTTTTGATCAAATATATGGCATGACCATCGAAAAGCATCACCAAGTTTCCTGTGTGGTTTATATGCCAGATCTAAAAAGCAATTTCCATGGGCATTCCCTAAAAGGTTTTGAAAAATGACAACGTCACTGAAACAAATATATAGTTTTCAAGAGGACAACCATATATCATATATGTATGTGAGTTCTTTTGACTTAACAATATTTCTTCATATATTGTTTTATCATATATTTATAATGGGCGCTAAAGACCATGGACATGCTTTTAGCTATAAATAATTTCTGAAAAAAAATCTCATTTCCCAACACGAGTTTCTTAAACAAATTCTAGTCTCATTTAAAAATATCTTATCAAAAGCAATGAAAGATCATTATGTCAATGAATAAAAGATCTACAAAAAAAATTAAAAATATTTGCCCAGATATTACAAAAATTGTTGACAGTGAACACCACAGATTTACTAATAAGCATCCTTGGATATCTGGCTAGTATAGTTGTAACAAATGTATCCCCTGCTAATTATGGCAATTATTTGTTCATTGAACAAATATTTATTAAGTTTTGGTGTGTATCAAATGCATGTCATGGGGAGAAGGGTTTGCTCCTTTAGACCCTTTCAATTGCATCCTGAGAGATTTATATGCCTAAAGAGGAGAGCCAAAATTGTGTTATTGACTTTCTTATCCAGTATAGTCTTCTGGGGAGTTGAGCTGTGTGGAGTACCTGTTTGGGCAAGAGTCCAGAAGAATGTAAGGGCTGGTGAGGTTTAGTTACCCTTTTCTGTTTACTACACCTAGATTGAGATAATCAGTCAATTAACTTGTGATGCAGAGACTCCCTCTCTTTCTTAATGATGAGGTCCAATTACCATCCTAACCTGTGATTTGACCCATATTGAGCGGATTGTAGTAAGAAAGTGGAGCTTTTAGTTATCCTCAGAAGCTAAACAGATTTGCTTTCAGTTCTGAAGATGCAAAGATGGGGTTCCCATTCTCAAAACAACATAAAAGAAACATATAAACAATTAACAACAAAATTCCAAACACCAAAGATGGTAACTGGAAGTTAAATTGATTGTATAAACTCAGAATACAATTAGAATTTGTCAGGAACTCCTAGTGATGCTTAGCTTCACAAAGAAGCTACTGTCAAAGAGAGTCCATCTTTCACATCTTCCACAGGAAGAGATAGAAATTCTTAGGACCCAACCTTGTTGTTTTTTTTTTAAGCCCGTAATTCCTAAGCTATTCCTGCTTTCTCAGAGCCTATTCATTAGATTTTTCCTGACACTTCATTTTTGCATAAAATCCAATTTTCATCCTAGGACTTTCCCTGTGAAATATTTTGTAGTTTTAGCCTAAGGATTGCAATCATACTGAGATAAAAAAAAAAAAAAAACCCAAAAACTATAATTGGCTCATTGTTCCTTATTTAAACTTGGTTGCTAGACCCATTCCTCTTAGTAATGTTGACACTAATTGCCCGGAGGAGGCAAATGATTTTTGAAAGTAGGATTATATGTTTCTTCTTATGTATTATAAACTTACAATGTTTTTCATGTGTTTCACAAGTATGGTCAGCTTCATATCCTCATACGATATCACTAACTGTACCTTAGGATTCTTGTCTGGAAACTTCTCACCTGAGAAAACAACAGAATTTCAGTGAATTAAGTTGGAAGGAGCTCATGACAGAATAACTCAAACATTTAAAGTCTAAAATAGGACCAATAAATAATATGTTAAAGACACATTTTTTTTTCAGATAATGTTGAAATCTTAATACTTGTCAGGAGGCAGGCAGGGTTGTTTAGCTAGAGGTGGGATTTGTGCCTAATCTTCCTGAATTAACTCTTTCTTCTAATGTTCCATGTTTTATTTTGATTGATAACCATTATTTTCACAATTACTTAAGCTTGAAACCTCGTTTTTGGCTCCAATTTTCTCCTTAATGCTCAGGATAATGAGCTTAAAGTATTAGAAATCATAGAGGTTAAAAATGTGGGCTTTTGATGTCAGTGAAATTTAGGAGCAAGTCCCAGCACTACTTGTGACCACGTCATTATGGCGAAGATGATCAACATTCAGTGAAATGAAGAGAAAAGTTACCTATTGCTGGATAATTCAGATGATTCTAAGTCGCTTATTAAGCACCCAACAGCTGTTTGCAATTACTGATTGCCTTTCTCTATATTATCTGTGCTCATTTCTTTCTTTCTTGTCCCCTAAACCCTAATTCAGACCCAGGTGTAAACTTCTTGCCTGAACTATTAGAACACTCTCTTACTGTCCCTCTAGAACCCAAATTCATTTGTACTCAGCTACAGGTAAAAATTTCCTCTAGCAACTTTTATAAGATGACTCTTGATCAAAGTGCTTTTCATAGATTTCCATTGCTTATGAAAAACATCCAACTTTCTTAGCCTGGTATTGCGGCTACTCATCTCTCTGTTTTATTTCCAACTGTTCTTCTGTGCTGAAGTCCACATGTTTAATTTTGCAGACACTCTCCATCATTTCTTTTTAGTCTCTTCTCATTCCCTTCCTTTGAAATGATCTTGTCCATCTTTGTTGGCTATTGAACTGCTATCTTTCTTTAAGGCCTAATTAAAATGCAGAATAGTTTCCGTTGTCACTTTTCCTGGAACACCCCCAGCACTGCTCTCATCATTTAATGTTTATATAGCTCAATTTATTTAGTGGATTACAATCTATCTCATGTTTTTCTTCTTTTCCTATATCTCCAAGGGACATAAGCCAATGTTTGGTTTGTAATCTATACATCGAATATTTATTTAATAACAAAAGTGACCTCAAGTTTTCTTTGCATTACATGATTAAAATGAATGTTAGTATTTTTTTCATTAAAAATTTCTGATTCATGGACCAATAAGCATGATTTCCAATTTTTAAAAACTTTCTTTGATAGTCTCTGATTGTCTTTTTTCTAAGGGAATTTAGTGAGAAGAAACTTGTCAGTGTTCACCTGTGAACTCACTATGGTTCATGTTCTTTTCTGATAATCAATCCTAATTCTCTAATCTTTTCTAATATTTGGAAATTACACCCGAGCAATATCTTTCCTCCCCAAAATCCCATTATCGGTTTTTCCAGTAGTTTACTTATCATATATAGGTAATAATATTAACTAATTTTACTATTAATAATGTGGATTGTAGACAATGAAAAGAGTATTTCTTACAACTGAGATGTTTATTACATTAATATAATAAAACATCACTTAAAATATCTTTATCCCAATGACTAAGAGACATTGTAAGTTAATTCTGAGTGTAGTTCTTAGGAAATTACTTTCCATAAAAATGTTGAATTTTTGGTATGAAGGTGCTAAAAGGGCAGATGACATTTTAGTGCACAATAAATATTGTATTTTAATTAAATCGTGAAAGAATTATTAAGTAAAATCTCAATATATTTAGTCAGAGGAGTTTTAATTCAAAAGTAGGAAATAAACCTAAATTTATGGCTGAGGCACTAAATAGTAAAGGTACAATTGCTACTTGAACACGTCGAAGATAATATTCTATCCTAGACCACTCATGCAAGATTAGTAACCAGAGTTTCCATGAAAACATGCCTGAGTTTAGAACCCAGTGAAAACTAGGCCAGCAGGAAGTCTTAAAAGTCAATGTCCTAGTAGCAGAGGGAATTCTTTTTTCTCTAGCTTTTACTGTGTGCTAGGGTAAGAGCTTTAAGTATGTCACTCACCAAGTCCTCATAGCAAATCTACAAAGTTTGTCTTATCTCCATCTTACACATAGGAAACAAAGGAACTTGATTCAAGATCATGCAGACAATAAATAGTTCAGGATTAAATGATACCCAAAGGCAGTATTTGATAAGAATTATGTTGCAAAGGGGCAAAAAGAGGACCACAGCATAAGGGAACTAGTTTAAATTAAGAGCCTAAGAAGGAAAATTTGAGAACAGCTTGATGAGGACAAGAAGCTGCTAGAGTATTTTGATCCTTCTGCTTCAAGTTAGTCTGGGGGATTCTTACCATGCTTTATTTAATCCTCGATAATAACCTCAAGAACTATTAAAATATTATTAATCATAAGCATAATTGTGTTGTGATGCTTATATGCATAGAACCACTACAACGAATGCATTGCTGCATAATGTATTATTCATAGTGTATCCACTAGCATTAAACATAACATTTCAAAATTTAACTTTATTAAGATGATAATATATACATGTGATTAAAAAATTAAAAACATTTTAAATGTACATAGTAAGAAGTCCTCCTCCATTCCTAACAGTTATCCATCCAAATCCCTCACTTTTCCATATATTTTTCCACAGAGGGACACATATTAAGAGTTGTTCCATGTAAGCATCTGCAAATAAATAATTTTTTTTCCTGCTTTTCCATAAAAGGCACAGTACATTTACTACTCTGCACAGAGATCTTGGAGATATTTTCCTATCAATATAGGTTTTTAAAAATGTATAGTTTCAATTATGTGGAAGTGCCATAATATATTTAATCAGTTCCCCATTGAGTTTTGTAGCTATTGCAATTACACCGCAACGTATCCTCTTGTACGTGTCATGTTGTACCTGTACACAAATATCGTAGAATAAAATTTTAGCAGCAGACTTGCCGGTCAAAGGGTATTAGCATTTGTACTTCTGATAAATGTTGCCAAATTGCCTTCCATGGGGCTTGTACCAATTTGCATTTCCACCAGCAGTGTATCAGGCGGCCTGCTGATTTATCACCAAGTCCGTTAATTAAATTTTTGGGATTTTGCCAATCTGATGAGAAAAAGTGGTATCATTATAATTTAATTTGCATTTCTTTTATGAGTGAGATTGAGTATCTTTTCATTTGGTTAACAGCCACTCATATTTCTTTGTGTGTGGATTATCTTTCCATGTTCTTTATTCAATATTCTACTTGGTTGTTGGTCTCTTCCTTACCTTTTTGTAAGAGACGGTTATGTGTTAGATAATCCTGAACTTTGTGAATAGAAAATATTTTTAACCGTTTTGTCAGGCAAAATGGTCTACTTCTAGATTTGCAGTCATAGCTATACATTTCAGATGATAATGGATTTTTCTGTTTTCCTTATCACATATATTATTTACATTTAAAATTTTATTGCTTATAATTTACATTTAAAATCTTTCCTCTATTAGCTACTTATACTGGCATATAATGTGAAGTATATTATCCTAATATTACTAATTTTTTCCTTAGTGTTTTGGAAAAAAATAGTAATATTAGGATATGCTAAATTCTCTATGTATTTGCCTCTATTTATGAGCATTCTAATATGCTTCACCTATTCATTAATTTATTTATGTGCCAGTACCACAATGTTTAAACTACAGTGATATTATGTTTTTATATCTGGTAGGGCTTGTCTTCCCCAAATGTTCTGCTCTTATGAAGTTTTCCTCATTTTTCTTTGTTTTGTTTATGAACTGTAGAATTAGGTTATCTAGTTAAAAGAATTACATTATATTTCAAAATTAATTGGAAATATCTGACATCTAAGTTGTTGAATCTTCTTACCCAACAGCATGATTTGTCTTTCCATTTGTTCACAACATCTTTCAAATGCCTCAATTGTGTTAAAATGCTTTCTTTATTGGAGCTTACACATTTCCTCTTAAATTATTCCTAGGCCTTTTTTCTGTTATTATTGTAAATAAGATCTATTTATTTATTCTTTTAAATAGTCTAACCTGTTACACACACACACACACAAACACACACATACATGTATCAACAGATGTTGATACATCAATTTTGGATCTGAGTCTTTCACTGAATTCTATTATTTGTGATAGATTTTTAGTTAAATCTTACTTTCCAAAGTATGTTATCACATTACATGCAAATAATGTTGCTTTTGTCCTCTTGCCAAAGTTTGTGTTTCTAAATTCTTTTTCTATTTTATTTGCCATCTTTCAAATATTTATTAAACTAGTATGAACAAGTCAACTGTTCTATGCTTTTGGAACCAAAGGCATAGAACCAATCTCTTAGAATCTTGACCTTCTACAATAACAGGGGAGAAATGCAAAAAGGAACAAGCATCATAAATAAGTGAAATTTATAATATGCTAAATATAGTAAATGACAAGGAATAATATTCCCCAAGGATTGGATGAAAGCATTGGGGGCTACCAAAATAAGGGGCAGGTTGTAATTTATATGAGTTGATTAGGGGAGTATAAGAGAAGGTAAATTTTGTGCAAAGCCCTGAAGGAGGTGAAGGAGTGAGCATATGTTGTCAAGTATTCTTAGCACAATGTCAGGTAACTGTGATGATCTTGGGCCTGGTATCTTATTCTAGACTTCAACAGAAATGGTTTTCAGTATCTCTCATGTATGATATGGGCTTTAGAAAGCCAAAATTATATATGTTCTAATGTAAAGGCATTATTCATTTATTTTTATTTAGCATTTCATCAAGAAAGTCATCAAATTTTCTCAAGTATATTTTTAGGGTCATAGAGGTGACTAAATGATTTTTCTACTTAAGTCTCCTTATGCATAATAATAATATTGAACTGCTTTTACATTTCTGGTCATGATAAATTATATTTCTTTAGTATGCTTATGGATTATTTGACATATTTTATTTAGAATTTTCCATTGATA